CTTGAATTTCCGTTTTCTTTTTAAACAATAGATTTTATACTAAAAGGGAGATTTACAAGATGAGATCTGAGGGCTAACTAGTCCTACAGATCCACAAAAAGGTCGACTCAAGGAAGAATTTATCAAAACCAGTAAAAAGGAAATGTTCAGCATATAATTAATTAATTATAACAATCTGTTCTTTTACAAAACAAACAAATTAAAATTTATCACCCAAAAAAATCAAATATAAAAATTTTGTTGTGAAACGATCGAAAGGAATTTCAACATCACGTCAAATCATCGCTACCACTCGATTAAAATAATAAACCAGATAAAAATCTAGGATATGCAGCTACAGCTGCCGGATCTCGACCACGTGTCCACGTATCAGTGGCTGTCGCACACGTGTCCTTCATAGAAAAGCAAGTCTCTGTCGAACATGGCATACAACCATGCAGAAGCCTACACCACGGCCCGTGGGCCCATATAAGGCCCTTAAATATTGTTTGGGCCTGTAACGTGGCGGGCGCCGTAAGGTGCCGCGAATGAACGGCGATGGGTTTTGGGCCCACCTTCCGCTTTCTCTTCAGTGTATGTAGATAAGATGTAAATGCGAGGAAGGTGATGTACTCAACTTTACTGGGCCCAAATTGGGACCCAGTTTTGGACTCAGCCACAAAGGAGATTGGGGAATTGGGCCCTTTTCTTTTTTGGCAGTGACACCACTCCTTCCTTGTTTTTGTTTCTTTCTATTTAAATATTTATTTAAAAAAATTATCCTAGAGTTACTGAAGAATCTAGAATTTATTTTATCACTATATATCCTTACAAGCTTTGATGTTGGACCATATAATACGATGAGATTGGTCATAATTTTTTATATTTATTTTGGTTTTGTTTTTTAAGGATGACATGATGTTTAGAGCATGTTTGGATACAAAATTTTTAACTCAAAGTGGATTTTTTTGGTTAACTTGAGTTAATATAAAAAAAGATTGTATGGTTTGTTATTAGTGAGATTTTGAATTTATATTAAAATAATATTTAAAATAAAATAATTAAAGTTGATTTGATGTAAAAGTATGAGAGAGAGGATATGGAGTGATGGTTAGTTAAAATTATGTGAGTGGATGAATAGTGAATTAAAATAGATGTGATGTGTAAGAATGATTGATATCATTTAATTATATTGAAGGTAGTGGAGTTGAGTTAAAGTTGAATTAGATTTTGAGTTGAATGAAATTTTGAATGAAAATACAATCATGCCCTTAGGTGCTTTTATGAAGCTATCACACTACAAAATGAATTCCGTATGTAAATTGTAATGTAGACTGTTGTTTAATTTGGATAGAGATACACTAAATAAATCCAGTTTGAGTAGTTGGCTTTCTTAGGATCTCTGAATCATACTTAACATTCTCGTCCGAGTACTTGAATAAGCGTCGAGAGGATTCTCGATGTAAAGTCTCGACAATCAAGTTAATCCATATTTTTGTATGTTGTATGTACAATAATGAACAAAATGTATCGTAATAATGGGTCGGATTTGCGTTCTGACCTGTTTGTAGACCTACAAAATGGGCCGGGAGGGGTTCCCGGCGTTAACACTTCGAAGATCAAGTCAGTCCACAATGACGAAGACGATGAGCAGTAAATATAAAGCTCTGAAGTATACGAAGTGTAGAGAATGTAGAGTGCAAGTGGACATACCTCACTCCTTTATATAGGGGGTTACCTTGTTGCCTAAGATTTTCTAGATGAGCTGCCCAGAGATGATGTAGCAAGCAGTATTGAATGCCTCTGTCACCACCTTAGTGACATCCCTTGAGATAAGAGCACGACTCCAGTCATTTCCTGTAAAGTCTTGTTCTTTGTTTTGGCAACACCATTTTGTTGAGGAGTGATGAAAGAAGAAAATTGATGTGATATACCTTGCAAGTCACATAAATCATCAAACCTAGTGTTCTCAAACTCTTTCCCATGATCACTCCTTATCGCTACAACTTCACATTTCTTTTCATTTTCAAGTTTCAAGACAAGTTTTTTAAAAGATTCTAAGGCGTCATATTTGTCTCTTAAGAAATCTACCCAAGTATATAGAAAAACCATCCAGACATACAAGGATATACTTCTTGCCATTGTAGCTTTCAACCTGAATGGGACCCATCAGATCCATGTGAACCAAGTTCAAATTTGTTTCGTATTTACCTCAACTATCTTCTTGTGAGAAGCTCTCTTTTTCTTTCTCATTTGACACAAGCTACAAACTCGATGTTCTTGCTTCTTTAGCTTAGGTAGACCACGAACAATACTTGCATTAGGAAGATCTATTAGATGACCATAATTAATGTGTCCTAGTTTCTGATGCCACAATTCAACAATATCAATGGAACTCTTATCGCAACGCAACTCAAGTTCAACTATGAACCATTTATCACTAGACCTAGATCCTATAAGAACATGATTGTCATTCTGATCACATACAAGGCATTTCGACTTATTAAAGCTCACGTTCAACCATTAGTCACACAATTGACTAATACTTAGCAAATTTTCCATCAAGTTTTCTACCAGTAAAACATTCTGAAGTTTTGGCAACTCAGGTACATTCAAACATCCAATGCCAATTGCTTTATTCTTAGCACCATCACCAAAAGTTATTGAACCACAATTCACAATCAAGATATTTACCAAATTTGATTTATTTCCTGTCATGTGTCTAGAGCATCCACTATGAAATACTAGTCAGAATTAGATGTGGACTTTAGAGCAAGTATAGAAGATAGACTCCGTATGAGACAACCTTATACCAGCTAGTCTTAGAGCGGGAGATTGAAAAGGCAGATTCGTGCAAAAGAGCTAACATCCGGAGTAAAGGTAATAGCCTATGTGCAAACCCCAATCATTGTCGCTATGGGCCTTCCTGCCTAAAAAAAAGATCTTCTCTTCCCTACAAACTTTTCGAAGCGAAGTGAAGGAATTTGATTCCATCATCCATATTGCGGTTCGGTTATACTTATAAAAAGTCTTCCTTTTTTTCTTTTTTTTTTTCAACTCATTTCCATCTAATCGATTTTTCTATTTTTCCTGGCTTGGCTAGGTGGGATAGCCGAGCCATTCCCCTTTCTTTATGATAAAAATCCGGGCTTCGCTTCGTTCGTTCCCTACTTCGTCACCTTACTTTGAACTTCTGACTTCGGCTCGCTCCTACCCTTCTCCTTTTACTCTCTTACTCTCCATTGATGAAAGGAAGAAACCGCGGCCCAAAAGGGATTGTATTTCCCCATCTCTGTTCACATCAAGGCAAGCCCATATTCTGGCAAGATGATACGGACTAGCCAACAGTCCGCCAGGTGCTACATCATAGGCACATTGGGGGCATAAATAATTGTAACCATATACATAACATATAAAATGACAGCAATGGAATGCCAATCCTCAGACTTTATTTGTAAAGTGAATCCATATCTTTTGCTGTTGGTGGTTCTTCAAATCCACTTTTGGTTTTAGATTTTTTAAAGGAACACCATGTGGATTACATTCAACAATTTGACCAGTACACACACACACACACATATATCATTATACATCCTATAGCATCTAAGATGTATATGACTAACAATACCACAATAGTGACAGGTATGGGTTATGATTTTAGAAAAGACTTTCATATGTTCTTGCACAGGATTTGTCGTACCTTGCTTACCTTCAGTACCATACCCTTCTTTGATAAAGAATGGAACAGACTTACTTTGTGATGTACCAGCTTCAGACATTTTACCTTTGAGCTTTCATAGATTGAGAATAATCATTTACGTCCATTGTACCAATTCGCTTACACGGTTTCTGGACTTTAGTGCATGGAATTTTTGTCTTGTTCACCATCTTGACCAGCTCTTCACTCTTGGTGAGTCTCTTCTCAATAGTGGAACAGTGATCTTGCAAGATCACGTGTTCTTCCATCACTCTTCCAAGTTGTTTTTTTAAGGCCATCACTTCAGCATTCTTTTCACTTAATCTATTCTCCAATGCAAACATCTCGTTACGCAAGGATTCAATCACAAAATTTGTTTCGTCACATACCTTTTTATTTAGTTTTTCAGAGTGTTCCAACAGTGCAAGCTTTTCCAAACAATCGTTGAGATCATGTTCTTGTTTGTTGGCATTAACATCTGACTTTATTAGTTTTTCATTGAACTTATCATTCGCCATTCGGGTCTTCTTAAGTTCATTTCTCAAGTACGTGATTTCCTTATTGTACTCCTCAGATCGATGTTCCAACCAATGTTTTAAATACCGGTATGTACCTACGGTATTACTAGTAATACCGTATACTGGTGGTCCGACCGGTATGATTACCTTCAAAATACTGTTCTAGCTAAAATACCAGTTTATACCGGAAAATACCGGTTTTACCGAACAATACCGGCCAAATTACCGGTTAAAATAACGGGTATACCGGAATTTAACAAAAAAAATTATTACATTTTTATAACAAATATTTATTAATTTATTTATATAAATAAAAAGTTCTACACTTAGTTTTAATATATTTACATTGTTATTCGATTGTAGTTAACTTAGTATTTATTATAGTTAGTTTCATACATTATTTACATTACAATAATAGAATAATTTAATATTTATTAAAATCGGTAAAATAGACTGTAAAACCAGTTGAACCGGTTAAACTGCATGCCGGTGGCTCGTCCGGTATAATCACCGTTACGGTATTCAAAACATTGGTTCCAATACTTCAGTTTCTCGACCTGAGCCTGGTATTTATTGATAACTTTGCTAGCTTTAATGCATTTCTCAATAGCATACTTGTGCATGGCAAGATCTTCCTCAGCGGGGTCAGGGAATTCTTCAGGTTCTTAATCGCCGCCAGCATGAGTGATGAGTGTAAGAACCCAACTCAGAATGCACATCAGCGAGACATACGAATGAGGCAAAACAAGAGAAATTGATGAGAGGACATGTGGAAAAGTTGTTAAAGTACTTAGACCCTTCTTCTTGTTTAGTGTCCTCGTCATCCTTGTCGTCCCATGTGGCTTGGTAAGTTTTGTTCTTTCTCTTGTAGTTTGGACAATCAGTCTGAAAGTGACCAAATTCTTTGCACTCTCGATATTGATCTTTCTCAACACCATGGTTTTGATTTTGATTCTTCGGAGTTTGCATGTTCGAATGTCACTCACCAGACTTCTGAAAGGTGTTATTTCTCTACTCGAGCGACTTCTTTTTTGGTACTTTTTCTTCTAATTCTTCACCCGTGAAAAATTTCATGTAAGAACACTCAGGGCCTTGGAAATGCCCTCAGCATCACCCTCTTCATCAGAGTCTTCGTCTTTTGCAATCGATGTTTGAACATTTGCTTTCAAGGCAATGCCTTTGCTTTTCACATTATCAAAGCCATGGTTGATCTCATAAGTGTGCAAATCTCCAAGTAGATCATATATTCCCAGAGGTTGAATTCGCATAAATCTCTCCAATGCAGTGATTTTTTTCCGGAACCTTTTTAGAAGAGTTCTCATGAGTTTTTGCACTTACCTTGCCTCTGAGATCTCTTCGCCTAGCATAGCTCTTTGGTTTACGAGGTCACATAAGAGAGCATAGTACATATCTATCGTCCTGTCATCTTTCATCCTAATTTCATCAAGGTAAGTGGTGATTCTAGCTTAGAGGATTTCACAACATTGGTTCCTTCAAACTGTCTCTTGAGAATTTTCCAAGCATCACATGCAGTGGAACACTGAATGATCATCTTGTGAGGATCAACCGCCGACATAATCGCGTAGAGGGCACGGAAATAGGCTTCTTCTCCTTGTTTTTCATTGTCAGTCCACATGTCTCTTGGTTTTTCAACCAGTTTGAAAGTGGATGTATCTGTTGAGAAGGATTCATTCTTTTCAAGAGGAGATCTCTCCATCATAGGTAGGGTCCAACCAGTTTCGATGATTTTCCAGGTGTCTCTCCCTAAAGATCGTAGAAAAATCGTCATCATGGATTTTTAATACGAATAATTGGATCCATGAAGATAAGGAAGACGAGAAATCGATAAGCCGTCATGGTTCATGGTGACTGACCCAAAGGACCTTGGATCTTTATCTTGTGATTAGAACAGGAACACTGCTCTGATACCAATTGAAACAGATATTGGGATTAAAATATAGTACGTAATAGTGTGTTCGAACACCAAAAATAAAAGCGGAAGCAATTAACTTTAAAATCTTTTCGGAGAGCGTCCCACTACCCCTAAGAGCACTTTCATTAATAGCTCGGTTTGCGCGCACAAATTATAGCTTGGACTTACAAGACTCGAACTCTCTTCTCGTCTAGCCAACACTATACCCGGACATATTAATTAATGTTATGGCCACAACTTTGTGGACTTCAAACTAGCCAAGAGTCCCTCCCAGCTATCCTGATACTTAATCTCTAAGTACGAAAAGTGTTTGTAGAAACAGAAAACGAAACACCATTCTTCAGTGGTATAAGAACATTGAAAAATTGTTCATAAAAGAACTCTAAAACAAAATTCTCAAACCCTCAAAGAAGTCTTTAAAAATAGGGAAAAAAACTTTAACCAATCAGAACTATTACAGTTTTGGCGCATCACCATATAAACTTTTATTTTTTTCAAACCACCATCTAAATTATACGGATTTATCAGTTTGCCATCTGAAACCAGAATTAAAGCTGTTTTCGTCCAAAAACAGCTGGTTCATAAAGGTATTTTCATATATTTTTTTAAAAAAGTTAAAAAAAAAAAAGAAAAAGAAAAAACCAAAAACTGGAATATCCACCGCTCTCATGCACTGTACACCTCCTTCCCCATCCTCTTGTCACCATATCCAACGATTTTGCCACGCTCCCCATGTACCGTGACTCTGTCACTATTTACAGCACCCACATCTGCCGCAACGTGCTCCGGGCCGCGATCACGATCTGCGAGAAAAACGACGGGGCACGCCCGTCTCACAGACGTAGTCGAGGTCAAACGAGTCGAGCGTCTCCTCCCCGACGATGCCCGCCACGGAGCCCACGACCAGCCCAACGAGCCCGACGTGCAAAATGAAGCACGTTTTGATGTGCGTGCAGCTCTCTTTGCACGCGTCTGTTGCCGCCGCGAATGGGAGGCAGCAATGGAGGCTGCCAGCGGCTCCGGTGGTGTAGCCGAGCACGTCCGACAAGTCGACGATCATGAAGAAGGCAAAGAGTCCACTCTTTTTGTACAGAGATTTTTCCGTACATGGATGAATGCATTTTATCGGACCTGTCCGATGAAGGCAAAGGTGACTTGAGCCATGGCTTTTTCCTTCTTTTGTACAGATATTGTCTCCACTGTCTGCCAACTCTCTTTGCATTAGAAGTCTATATGTTAGAAGACCGCATGACTAGGACATTGCAAACAATGAATGTGAGCTTTTTTAAGCTTAAATTATACATTCATTTATTATTATTTTTGGAGTGGGTTGGAGTGGTGTTTGGTGGCGGCACACCAGTGGATGAGGAGGAGATGGGCGGCCCCAACTAGGGAAAGTATGAGAATTTTCTTTCATTTAGTTTTCCTGTTTTGTGTGTTTGGCTTGATAGTTTTTATAGGAAAGTTGAACGTGTGTATATGTGTTTTCAAATGTTGTGGACAGTAGCCAATTGTTTTCATGATGGAATTGTGTGTTTGTACTCTTTGCACTCTTCGAATTAAATGTTAGGCACTACTATTTTGTGAGCATTTGGTATATAGGTTTAATGAGATGGTCCAATTTTGGCATCTGTAAATTTGTTTGCAACTAAGGACTGCTGCCAACAATTTGGTTTTAGTTGTTTTGCTATTATTGGAGTGTTTACTTTGGGCAATTTTTTAGCAGCAACAACCAATTTTTTAGAAGTATGTGTCATGGCCGCACTATGACCGCGACTCTCTCTGCCGATGGTCTACTGCGGTGGGGCGAGCTGCAGCTACACCGAGAAGGACGGGCCACGACACCTTAAAAGATGGCGTCACCTTCTCTGGTAAGGTATATCCCTCATGCTCTCCTGTACACTCCCTTCATTTTTATATCTTATCATTTTTTTAAAACTATACGAAATTTCTAAAATGCCATCTAAAATCAGCTTTTTTTTTAGTCAAAATCACTTTACATCCGATTTAGGGGTATGATGAGAAAAACGTGGAGTTTATATGGCTATTTATCAAAAACAATAGTTGATAGGGTAAGCCGTAAAAATCGCGATAGTTTGGATGAGAAAAAGTAATTTATCCTTAAAAATATGATGAACTCCAATATGTGCAACAGTTTTCAACTTAATATTTGAGACGATATATATACAGGAAAATGCTAGATGTACATAATAAACGTACATAGAGTTGTACATATCACTCACATGGATAAAGTTCACTTAATTTTTTATTTTTTGGTAGGACCCACTCAATGTGAGTGTTATGTACACCTCTACGTACAATATTATATTATGTACCTATGGCATTACTCGTATATACAAAATTCTCAAGGCAAAGGGTCTTCAAGCTTCATTCCTTTTGGAGTATATTTCTTTCCTTCTTTAAAATTCAAACTAAGGTTGAGATCTTCATGAATGGTTGAGATCTTCATGAATGGAAGCTGAGATCTTCTTGTTCCTATATGCCTTCATGGACTTCTCCTTCTTTTGAATCCAAACATATTAAATAAAATAGAATCTAAGTCTCAAAGAAAATGTTTGCTTAGAACATCAAGATGTCATTTCACAACTTGTCGAAATAAATTCTTACAAATATATTTGATTCAGTGAAGTTAGATGAATTTTGGGGGCCAAGTAGTGAGAAGAAGCGGTCACAGACAAGAGACAGCGTGCACTGAACAAGCACCAATCGAATGAGAAACAAAAATGGAGCAACTTCGCAGAACGGCACGAGAAGACGAAGCCATAGAACAACAGCAAGAAATTTGGAGCTGGGGCGCCGGCACCGAAGGGCAGCTAGCGACGGGGAGGCTTCGAGATGAGCACAGCCCGCAGCTCCTCCGTTCTCTATCCACCCTTGGGCCGCCAATCATTTCTCTCTCCTGCGGCGGCGCCCACGTCATCGCCGTGTCCGCCGGTTCGCACACGCACTGAATCTGTCTACTGCGTGCATTTTGCCCGATTTTTAAATTCTATTCTTCTTGTTTGTGCAGGTGGAAGAGTGCTGACGTGGGGAAGGGGCAGTTCTGGTCAGTTGGGCCACGGGGAAACCCTTAACTCTTTGGAACCAAAAATCGTCGAATCTTTTGCTGGTTTTGTTATCACTAACGTTTCTGCTGGCTGGAATCACTCTGGGTTCGTCTCAGGTTGTTTCTCTTACCTTTTCCCTTTTGTAGTCTTTACCCTATGTCCATTGATTTGTGATCACAACTCCTATATTTTGAGATTTTTTAATCCCAGGTGTCTATTAGCTTATTTTTTGAATGGTTCATAATCCCTTCCAGTTTGTTAGAGATTAAGTGCTGGGAATGTCTACTGTTTTAACTTGACAATCTTGAATTTGTAAGCAATATAATTAAAACCAAATGGAAAACAATATGTAATTTTTGGTGGCCTTTCTCAGGAAAATTTAGCTTATGCAGCATATATATATATATATGTGTGTGTGTGTGTGTGTGTGTGTGTGTGTGTGTGCGTGTGTGTGTGTGTGTGTGTGTGGGCGCTTTAGTTTTTAAATAGGCTTCTGGCATTAAGTCCATCTTTTGTAGTTCAAATATAGTAATTCATTTGATTTTTGTTGTCCGCTGATCAGTTGTTAGTTAATAAGAATAAAGTTTGTCACGTCTATAGACAGTTCTAATCAATTTCACATGGTTTTATGTGACCAATAAGATGTATGGTATTGGCATCCACAATGATAAGCTTAGTTGATCGGTTTCCTGCCTCCAAAAGTCCAATCGTTGCGCAATCATTGTGTGTAACAGTTATTTGTTGTAAGAATACAATTAGTTGTTGCGAACAATTCAGAAGATGAATGATTTCGAGATATAGTTTGTCGAAAATTCTACTGGTTGCAACTGACTTTCTTAGTTGAAGATCTTGTTTCTTTATGCATCTGTTAAGGAGATTTAGCTTCTCTGATTCTCTCTACCTTTTCTAAATTGTTTCCTCTCCTTTGTATGTAACACACGATCTTCTATGCAGTCAATTTCTCATAGTTTTCACTCAAAGCGTACTTTTCTACTATTCAGAAGATGGAGCCATTTTCACCTGTGGTGATGGTTCTTTTGGTCAACTTGGCCATGGTGATTATAAATCTCAATGTTCTCCTCTAAAAGTCTTGTATTTTGGCTCGAAAAACGCCTTGCAAGTTGCTTGCGGAATGCGCCATTCCTTAGTGTTAATCAGAGGTAATTGCACGAAACCCTTGCATCTTTTCCCCCAATTTATTGATTAAAAGATGTTAGGTCACAATCATGTGCCTCATTATTTATATTCCTTAATATTATGTCTTTGGTTTTAGTGTGGTGTACTACTAGTTCATGTACGTACGTAATTATGCTAATAGATGAGAGGGCATCGTGCATTCGATGGTGAAATATGTTAGAATCTAATTAGTAAATGCAGTGCTCAATTCCTTGAAATATCTTATGAAAAAGGTGCCATCTTGTAGATAGTAAAATACATAACCTTAGCATGGTTAAAAATTTCGTTAACATGATTCTGTACGATAACTATTGCTCTATACCAAACTTATCTAAGTATAAAAATAATTATGTTGCAGGTAATGTGGAAAATCAGGTGTATGGATTTGGGTCCGGAAAGCGCGGACAACTGGGTATTTCTACAGACAAAGTCAAATTAACTACTCTACCTCAGATAACCATGGGTTTGACAAATATTAGAATCATCAGTGTTGGTGCAAATGGGGATCACAGTGTAGCATTATCAGGTGAGTTCCATAGTATACATCTTGCATGACCTAGCATTGGATTTTAATGTCGAGCTTGCTATTTTTGTTTGGGCTAACTAGCGAAGAGGCTCTCCTGAGCTTTAACCTAGTTACTACGAAAGAAAGAAGTCCTAGCAAACGGTCACCTTAGT